CCCAGCGCCGCCTGGCTGGGGGTGGGGGCTGATGGGCATCTCCCACCCGGGGTGACCCCAGCAGCCCCCGAACAGCCCGGGGAGGGTCCCAGGGATGAATTCCCTTCCTCTGTCCTGGGCAGTGCTGGGGTTTACACCCTGGGTCTGTAGATCCCAGGAGTGTGCCAGGAGCAGGTGGCATCATCAGCTGCGTGCAGGAGGATCCCAGTTCCCAACAGACTCCGGGGAAACTGGGAAACTGGGCGTCCTCCTGCACAGCAGCATCCCCCATCCTCATGCTGGTGCTGTTCCTGCTGCCAAGCACATGCGAGGCAGGAGATCCTGAGATCCTCACCTCACCTCCTCCCCGCGTCCCACAGCGGCCAGTTTGCCATTGTACGAAAATGCCGGGAGAGGAAAACGGGTCTGGAATACGCGGCCAAATTCATCAAGAAGCGTCGGCTGTCGTCAAAAAAAAATGTCGTCCAGCCGTCGGGGCGTGAGCCGGGAGGAGATCGAGAGGGAGGTGGACATCCTGCGGGAGATCCAGCACCCCAACATCATCACGCTGCACGACATCTTCGAGAACAAGACGGACGTGGTGCTGATCCTGGAGCTGGTCTCAGGGGGTGAACTCTTTGATTTCCTGGCTGAGAAGGAATCCCTGACGGAGGAGGAGGCCACCCAGTTCCTCAAGCAGATCCTGGATGGGGTGCACTACCTGCACTCCAAGCGCATTGCCCACTTTGACTTGAAGGTGAGGTCTGGGAGGTGCAAACACCCCATGCTCAGCAGCTGGGGAGTGGGGATGAGCATCCAGGCTCCTGTGGAGCAGTGGGACTGGCTGTGGGATCTCTCCTGACTTGAGGTGTGTGTGTCCTCTCCCCCCACAGCCAGAGAACATCATGCTGCTGGACAAGAACGTGCCAAACCCTCGCATCAAACTCATCGACTTTGGGATCGCCCACAAGATTGAAGCTGGGAATGAGTTCAAGAATATATTTGGGACCCCGGAGTTTGTAGGTGAGACCTGGCTGATGGTGTTCCCGTGGGGTTCCTCCAGGATCTGAATGCTTTGGCTGAATCCTGGAGAGATGCCCCAAGCCCTGGTGCAGCCGGCTGGGCAGCGGCCGGGATGTGGCCATGGGGACAGGCGTCCTTCCCCCAGGATAAGCCTGTTTTC